GTGGCAATTAGCAAGGTTGCTTAAAGAATCAGTATTTGTATGTGGCTGATAGGCTTATCTTTTAAAAAATTAGAGTTTTCCAAACCACTTGTTTACATTTGTTTGTCATGATAGGCTAAAATATAGTTAGCTAGCTTGCAATTCAGTGTCTTCTACAGATTCAGTTCTTGTTAATTATTCTAAAGTCTTTTTCACTTTTGAATTGATGTCACATATAGAAGACCCTTCTTGCAAGAGCCCAATTTATTTTTGGACAATCCTAGGTGGAAGTTAACCACTATGAGACAGCTCCAAGAAGCTCTCCAAATCACAGAAGAAGCAAAATAAGATATGTTGGCTGTAAGAAAAGTTTAAAGACCATTTTAGGAAAATATCTCAGGGCAACACCTCTGAGAGAGATGGGCAGTTAAGAAATAGGAAGAACAAACGAACATGAGGCTAGCAATAATTTTTCCTCATTTCAGCTGCTCTAGATTCAACCCAGGACACAACTTCAAACATCCTATCACCTTATCTGGGTGTCCAGTTTCAATGTCATTTCTCTATTCCCAATCCATGGAAATTGTAACTAGGTGGATTTCATATTCTCAGAATTATCTCACTTATGGCTTCTTCCTCCAGGTCCACCAATTCCATGCTTTATAACACGTCTTATCTTTCTGAGGAATTTTAGAGGTATTGCTTAAAATCGGGTTGCTTTTACAGTTTGTTTGTTTTTTTTTAAAAAAAAAAAAACCAAGCGGAGATATTTAACACTGAAAAATACCAACTACAGGCTACCTTTGCAATTTCAGGGCACAATTTCAACAGAGGAAGTGCGAGCAACATTTGTTGAGAAACCCTTGAAGTCCCGTTTGGCAAAGGAGGATGTTGCGTTAGACGAGCCCTTGGCGACCTTAGCCCGCTCGCCAAGAAAACGTTTAGACAAAAGTTTTCTAAGACTTGTTTCCTTGGAGCCCGAGGGGCCCCGTTTGGAAACTGAAGGCACCACTCATGAGAAACAAGCCAACGAGAACTCTTCCGGGCAGGGGGCTGCGGAGAAAATGGGGGCGAATGGTCCTCGGGAGCTTCCAAACTCCCGGCTCTGGAAAGTCTAAGTGTCGTCGTTGCTTCGGACTCCACGCTCACGTCGTTAAGGAAACCAACCATTAAGCGTCATCTTGTCTCCAGTTGCTCCGGGCTGAGGTGGAGCCGACCAGTCGCATTTTGGAGGTCAGAGAACGGCCAGGCCGCCCAGAGAGAAAGAGAGGGCGCAGAAGGAAGGGCCGGGCGGGGATTGGATAAAATCCCAAGAGTAGCGAAACGAATCTCGCGTGTCCAGCCCCACCTTATACAGGGCAAATCCGCTATGGGAATTCGCGTCGACCCTCCTTAAAGATTTTGGTCTCCTTTCGCAGGCGCGGCGCCCCCCAGTGTTCGCGGAACTGCAGCGCTAAGTGAGCTAAACCTCTTCTATTCCGACGGGGAGGGAGGGGGGGGTCCATCATCCCCACTTACTCCGACTTGTGAATTTTCCGCGGAAAGAAGTGAGATCTAGGAACTGATGGAGGGACGGGAAGTTGAGACTTTACTAACCGATCGCGCGCGCCATCGCTCGCTCTCAAGGGGCAGGGAAAGCGAGGGTGGGAATCGCGGGGCGGGAACCTCTCGGAACCTGGCTGAATCGGAGCTGAGCAACAGCGCGCCTTGGTCTGGATTGAACCCGCGCGATTCGCCGCTATCCCCCTCTCTCTCTTCTATCATCCGCCTGTCTGTCTGTCTATCTATCTATCATCTATCTACCTATCGTATCTCTGTATTGGAGAGGTCGGGAGTGCCGTTTCATCTAGCCCGGTTTGCTAATCCAGGGAAGACTTGCAGCTGTGGTGCAGTACAATAATAACTTGAGTACAATAGTTCTATGGCGCTGCCACAGTGGAGCGGAGAAACCCTGGGAAAGGCGCACTCCTAGGGCTCTCCAAGCCCCATTTTTTTTTCTCCCTGGCTCCTCCGGCGCCCGCGGCCCCCTTCCGGTCCTTCTCCTCTCCCAATCTCCTCCCAGGTGGTGAGTCTTTTTTTCCTTTTTCTCTGCAACTTTGGAAAGAATTTGGGCGCGTGGCAGCAAAGTTGGACCCACCTCCCATCCGGGGCATCTTCATTTCTTCTCCGGGAAGGGAGAGGCATGGAAAAAGCGTCAGGATATAAAGCTGGGAATTATTATTTTTTTTAAAAAAAAGGTGCGTGGACACGGTGCACGGGAAGCTGAGGTAACCAGGGCTGCACTTTCCTCTGGGTCTTACTTCGGAAGAAGGCGGGAAGGCAGACAAATATTGAACAGGATGTATTCCCCCCGCCCCCCACAGCCTGCCCCGTTAGCATGAGCTAAGGATGGCTGGCTGGGTAGGGAATGTTCAGTGGGAGCAGCGTGGTTCATGTCCACCCCCTTTAATGTCCTGTGAAAGCAGCACTGGAATACATGGGGTTCTCTCCTTCCAAATGTGAAAGTAGGAAAGTACTCTTTCGGAGTACTTGTGTTAAGCAAGTATTAAAGGATAGGGTTTCTAAGATTACGTCTCATAAATCTGATGATCTTTTAGTAGACACAGGTGTTTCAAGGACCCAATATTTGTTGAATTATGGGATAATCATTGCATTCTAACCGCGGCATAGCAACTAAATAATAAGTCTGCCATCTGCTAATATGGACCTGCTAATAAGGGCCCTTCTCCACCATATTTTATACTGGCATTTTTCTTCAATGTCCACACTTCCTCCACTAACCACTGTACTTTATGTCTGTGTCCTGTTGATGACTCAGATCGGCAGAAGGAAAAATAATAGGAAGTATTCAAATGAAGGGGAGTGCAAAGGAAGTCCTGCTCCCTAATGTTTTGTGGAAGCTGCTATATTTAGGCGGATAGAGGGGGCTTCAATATTTTCCTTCTGAGAAAAGGCTAAAAATTCTTTAGGTTTGAAAAAAAAGGTATTATTGGGAACATGACTGAGATATAAAAAAAATTATACATCAGGGAGAAGGGTTTTTTTAACCATCTCTTCAAACACTAGGACCGGTGATCATCCAATGAAACTAATTCAAAGAAGATTTAGAACAGTACTCCACCTCACCCCAGTACTTCTTCATGTAATGTATAGCTATAATATGGAGTTCATGGTGATGGCCACTAACTTGGATTGTCTTGAAAAGTGACTTGGTAAATTTAAGGAGGACAGATCGATCAAAACCTGTCAGTGTTACTCTGGTTTCTCCTGCTCTCTAGGATAACTTGGAATTGATTGATTGAACTTTTTAGTCCCACCCAGTCTGCCGTTACCACTACAGCCACACCCACCCAGTGAGCCACACCCACCCAATGAGCCACACCCAGTCAATGGGCCACACCCACCCGGCACTCAACGATGCATAAGTGGGTTTTTGAGTTGCAGTTTGGGCACTCAGTTTCTAAAAGGTTCGCCATCACTGTCCTAGGGAGCAGAAGAAACATGTCTCTATGTTTTCTTTTTAGCACCCAAGAGATGTCTGATTGGCCATTGTGAGAAACAATAGATGGTTTTTGTCTGATCTTTCCAGACTGTTCTTATATATTTATGACTTGATTTGGGGAGAACTGGGTGAGGGGCTTTTGAGCTTTCAACCCTCCCTTCTATTATCTGAGCACTGAAAGTTGAATGTCACCTGTCCAAAAAACTCCACATTAATCACTTTCCTTATCCTATTTTTTCCCCTCTTAAGGAAGCAGATGATGTTTGATATTTCATCTGACTTTTTATGGTTGGTTGCTGGGCTGTACATACTTTATAGTGCTTTATCATCAACTAGGTTTCCAGGGCTTGTCAGAGGAAGCTTCAAAGAGTATCGTATCTAAGGGAAAGTGCTTGCAGAGCAGCATTGGATAGAGATTCCTGTGAAGGAAACAAATTCCTGAAGATCTGCAAAGTCTTTTCAACTTGTCTAGGATTTGGGACTGTGCTGCCTATTCACTCTCTGAAGATGCCTCTTCAAAACCTCACACAACCCACCTATCACCAACCACCCAGTAACTCACAAGATAACTTACAAGGCTTGTTCAGTATGGTGCATGGTTACTTGGGAATCGTGCAACCCAACAGTTTCCCAAAAGGTAAGAATTGTAATGATGCAAGAATTACTTTTCATATCATCAACATTATCACTTTAGTACAGAATGCCATTGGGTTTTTCATAAAACTTGTTCAGCCCTTATTTTTCTCATTGTGTGGGCTTCTCAGATTAAGTGTTGTGAAGGACACACATTTAATTTGAGAATTCTTAGGAAAGTCTTAACTATCTGAATATCAAGGATGATGTTGGCTGATAGGCAAATAGCAGTGAGTTTGCTATGGCTCTGTGCAGAAAGCCAGTTTAACTATCTTGATGAAACAGTACTGGAAAAAATAATACTCAGTGCTATCATTCTGAAATGAGAAAGGTGTTGATTTATTGTACCAGGTTTACCTGGCATTGAAATTCTGAACAGTACAATAATAAGGGTGTTGGGAGGGGTTTGTCGATCTGTATACTTGAGCCTGATAGGTAAATACCATCTACTGTCTATGGTACATTTATTTATTTCACAATATTTATTTCTTCATATATTGAAAAAGATGAACTAACCTTTGGACAATGCCCATATTAATTGAAAGATCATTGAATGCTGGTGTTTTGCCGCCACAATTCCAGTTTCTGATAGCTGTGAAACCTGAGTTTGGGGAGTCAAATATTTCTAATGTATATTAAAGTACTGAAACTGTAACATGACTCCACACATAAATTTAGCTTTCCAATCCCCCTGAGAAATGGACAACTATATAGTAGTACAGTCTGTGGCATTTTACATACATGTCTTCCTTCCTGATCAGAACTTGGGATAACCTGTTTTTCCAGCTTAGAGTAAAAATAGGCTATTTACAAACAGATTTTTCTTTATGCCAGTTAGAAAACGATTTCTCTTTCTGGTCTAACTCCAGTGTCAATCAACTCTTCTCAGATTTTTTAAAGTGCAAAGAATACAAAGCACGCAACAAGCATCTGATCTGACAATTGTGCAGTCACTTGAAAAAGAGAACAGAAGCAAAAGGGCTGCTTGAATTATGGGCAGATGCTAGACACTGAATTCATAGTCTGAATGTGAAGAATGAAAGACCTAGGGCAGGAGTGTCAAACTGCGGGCCGCAAGCTGGACGCGTCACGCGGAAGCCACACCCACCCCATTGCCGGCAATGGTAAAACCGTCCCAATATGTTGTGCGATGTCACGTGACGTCGCGAGTTTGACATGACTGACCTAGGGAATCAATTCTCCACGGAGTAGAACGAATAAACCCACAAGTTTTTTTCTTGTTTCCAAGAACTTTATGTTCTTAGGCAGTCCAAGAAGAACAACCACAAAACCTTCCACTTGTCTTCATGCAATTTTGGTTATATGATTTATGCTGTTTTCCAATACATTGTGTCAAAGCTTCAAATGAAATTTCTGTGGAAGGCTTCAAAAGTGTTAAATGGTACAGTTATCCAGAAATTTACCACAATTTGTAATTTAATTGCACAAAACTTAATTTAATTTAAAATAAGCCCTGCCTTAGGCATGAAAGCCAGCTGGGTGACTTTGGGCCAGTCAGTTCCTTTCTCAGCTCAGCTCACCTCATAGGATTGTTATTGTGCAGAAAATAGGAGACAGAAGGAGTATTAGAACATTTGCTGTCTTGAGTTATTTATAAAAATAATAAAGGTGGGATTAAAAAAAATCTAGAATCGGAATCAGAAAATTCTCCTTTTCATCGCTCAAGTCAATTAAAAGAGGAATAAGTATACGAACTATCTTAGAGCAGTCTTCTGAAATCTCCAATATTATGGCTGAATGCAAGTGTAAGTGCAATGGCAAAGCTCTGTTCATTTAATTCCACCACTGTGGACATGCAACAGGATTGTGTTTTAATAGGGAAAAATAGGGTGGGGGTGGAGAGAAGGAGCTATAGCATTTCCTGGGCTATTTTATCAGGGTTGGCTTCCCAGCCCTTTTTTCTTCCTCGTGGCTTTGATTCCAGAAGTGCAGACCATGAGATTGACCACTACTGAATAAGCTGGAGAAAGTGGTGTCTTGTTTCTTTCCTTAAAAAATATTTCTGTGGTACTTTCAACATTTTAATAGGGTATTTTAATACAAAGCAGAATGAAAAACATATATTTATTAAAACACCTGAAAGAAATAACAGTCTGTATCTGATACACTGGAGAGAGGCCCAAAGCAGAAAATACCTGTAGCCTATCCTCTCCCTTGGATCAGCTATTTCAGGCCCCTGAAAAGATTAACATGGGATAAGGTTGTTTTTTTTTACAAATTGTGTCTGCACAAGGTTTAAATAGCAAACACCACTGTTTGAACAGTGTTTCAAAATAAATTAGAAACCTGGTATAGATCTCTTCAGACCTTGGATAGATGGGTTTGCAGTGTCTCCTTCCTCTTAATAGCTCAAAGTCTGTGCTTTGAACTAGCCCTGAGTTGTAAGGCAGCCAAGATGCTGTTCATTCAGATTCTTAACCTGAAATGCACTAGTAACCACAGCATGCTTAACTATAGTCAAGTTGTTTTCTATCCAGACTGAATTGAAGCTCAGTTGAAGCACATACACCCTCCACTGTATACAAGCATAGGACAGAAACAGGATTAAATAGTATGCTAGTGGCTGTATCAGTTTGACCCCAAGGACACTGCTTCTTTCTTTAGAATAATGAGGCAGGCTCTGAGGCTGCGATTTCTTATCTTGAATATAATGCTTCTTGTGATGCAACTCAAAATGTTAAGATCCTTTTGACAATAGTATTGCATGTTGAGTCGTATTCAGATTGTATACAACTGGATAATCTAATCCTTGTGGCCTTCCTGAAAGTTATTGCTTCTTTCTCTTTTTAAAACTAGAGACAGTTCTTTAAACTCATGTGTTTAGTTTAGTCTGTTGCAGCTTAAAGGGGTTGAGAGTAATAGCTAATGAAAGTTGAGAGTCTTCTAATTGCTGTTTTTCTGGACCTTCAGTCACTGAATATGAAACTACAAATTAGTTAGATATAAGTAACATTAAATGTCCACTTGGTGCAATATTTTGCTTTGAAGAATAGCCATCTATTCCCCTCTTAGTTGGTAGACTCTGTGTTTTATTACTTCTCTTTAACTACTAAATAGCAAACAGCTATTTAAGAAGTATATACTGTTAGTTTATCTTATCCGTTAAAAAAACGAATCTAAGGTCAGCAGGCGCATTGAGCAACTGTGTATTTCTTGTATTTAACAGTTATCTTTCCATGAAGGCACCAGTTCTTTTATTCTTAAGAATGCTAGGTTTTCTCAGGTATCAGGTGTCAAGTAAAATATACTGTATATATGGTGGCTTTTCCTGTTTCTGTTGTTTCTATTGACATTTTTACATAATCCTAAAATGATTCCATAGGCAGATTTGCTTGTGAAGCACTGGACCTAGGCATTCTAATCAACAAGGCCTCATAATCGACAGAATCCAGCCCTTTCTTAGCTGTTTTGCCATAAGGAAATATGAGGGTTTTCCCCCCCCCATCCCTGGAAAGGGAGGTAGTTTAATAGGCTGTGGAGAGCTGAGGGTGATATGAAGATTGTTTTGAAGTCCATTTTACACTTTGGCAGCTGCTGTGTTTTCCATTAAAGGCTTGAGTACCAACATTTCTATTTATTGTAAAGGAGCTGTTCCAGTTTCAGTCAATCATTAATTTTTTTGTTTAATCTCCAGGCAGCTTGTTTCTAAATGCAGAATAAAGAAATTAGTTAGAGTAGGTGGAGGGAAAGCAGCATATTAAGATGGAAAAAGAGATACAAAAGTGACATGACAAAGGAAGGGTGGTGTCTTTTCAGACGACTCTTAACAGGGTCTCCGATTATCAACATTCTATGTTATAAAACTTTCTAATTCATTTTAGAATCATGTGTTTAGAATATGTATTTGGATAATTTGTGCACATACTGTACATGGCTTTTCATTATCTTTTATAATGTGAGTTTTTAAAGCTTTCTGTTGTTTTTCTAGTTGCCATTGTTTAGGCCTATGAATTAAATCGAACCCAACAGGTTTTTCTCCTACGTCTTAAATTTAACCCTTTGGAGTGTTTCTTTTTCTTTGAAAATTTTGCCTTGTGAAAAATGAGTCTGTGAATTATAGCTCAGTATTTTGATTTACTGTTTCTGGTAATGTTCCTTCCCTCTTTTCCTCAGGGCCACCCTCTTTATTCTCTACATCTAACTCTAGTGGCTATATGCTTCATTGCAAAAATTGCAGAGTAACTTTTCATTTTGAGAATGATCAGCTATCATTACTGGGACTTTTCACTTCCATAAGAAGTGAGTAAAACCACCAGAAATTTATTAAGAATTTACCCTCCAATGGCAGGTATCCTAGATCAATGTGGCTATATAAGTTGACTTTGGCCACAAATCAGTTTTTTGAAGTTCCACAAGTTACTCAACTGAATCAGTCACTACTTGCTTCAAATAACCATCTTGAAATAATCTCAATTTTTCAAAGTTTCACTAGTTTTGCTCAAAAATATATTTAATTTTTTCCAACCTCATCTTAATACCAATCTGCTACAAGATCCGAATCCTGTCATGATAAGGAACATACAACCTGGACAGTGCTAGCATATAGGATAGCCAGAACAACTAATGATTTTAACACCTGTAAATTTTTAAACAGATAAAAATAGAGCTATTACCGGTAAATGGAGAAAAAAAAAGGTTTATACTAAAGTTCTGGGCCAGGATCTAACAGATTGTAATGAATAAAGATCATTGTCTGTTTGGGCAGTTTTTCTAAATCTATAGCTAACATAAAAACAATAATCATACTTATCCTATAGTTTTTCTTCATACTTGGCCCAGACATTTCTGAGGTCTTTTTACTATCCTAGACAGTACCCTCAATATTCAGTCACTAGAGGATCTTACTCAGAGTGCTTTCAGTATCTTCTGTTGAAATTTTTTAAAAATGCCCATCGAAAAAGTAATAAAACTCCTGGCAAATATTTAATTCCATTTGAATTTTTAAAGATAAATCCAATATAGTGGGAATTGATGTTAGCCTCTCTTTTGACTTCCATATATTGTATGTGTACCCAAGGAATGGCTTAATTCCATTACTCTCCCAATATAATGTTAATGATCACCCAGTCTTCTTTCGGTAATTAATAAACTATATGCCACGTTTTATGTCATAAATGTTCAGATTGGCTACATTCTAAGAATATTTTTGTACCTGAGCAGGCCACTTTCAGATCTGGATACTTTGCAATGAACCAGCATATAATTCTGTATCATTTAACAGAAAAATAACAATAATCTCCCAAATGGAATCCTCTACATTGCCTTCATAAATCTAAAGATGGCTTTTGATGTTATACTTTGACAGAAACTATGGAGAAAATTAGTAGTCTCTGAGATACCCTCTAGAGGAGAAACTACAAAGTGCCTAATGGCATTTTAATTTTCAAAAGACTGGCAGAGCTATCCCTGTAGAAATTATTTGGAAGGGCTAAAGCAGCGGTTCTCAACCTAGGGGTCGCGACCCCATTTGGGGTCGATCGACCATTTCACAGGGGTCGCCAAGCAAGGCTGTCCGCCATTTTTTTCCCCTTTTCCGGCGGGTGCCTTACCTCCCATGGGCTGGGCCAGCTGGTGGTCGGCCTGCTCCGTCTCTGCTGCTTGCCAGCTACGCCTCGGCCGGCACAGGGGGCAGAACCACGCATGCGCGGCGCTCCCAGGCAGGGAATGTCCTCGACTTACGACCGGTTGGGTAGTCCTCGACGTACGACCGGTTTAGTGCTCGACTTATGACGGGTTTAGTCCTCAACTTACGACCGGTTGGGGGTCGCGGCATTAAAAAGGTTGAGAACCACTGGGCTAAAGGTAAGCAAGCTCACAGCAGCCTTCTATAAGGAACCAGATTGGCGTCCTTCACATTGCCTTGGTGATCTTCCTAGGAGGGAGGGAAAGCCATTTCCAATGGTCTGCTGGGATGATGCCAGGATATGCTGCCCTTTAGTTATCTGGATTTAAGAGATTTTTGAAGAAAAGTTTCTTGAACAAAAAAATGTGTTTCTCTTTTCCTATCCTATGTTATGGCAAAGAAGTATTTAATTTGATGTTAGGCTCAAAAAAAAAGCAAGAAAGACATGCAGAGTTACATTGTAAGCAGTTTCCTTTATTGTCACTTACCTATATACAGAAATCTTGCTAAACTAAAGCAACTACTTGCATTATTAAAGACATACTCTGAGAACTTCTAGGGAGCAGCTATCCTGACCCTCTTTCCCCTCAACCAAGCTATCTAAACTTCACTGTTTCTTGGTCATCTGGAATGCAGCCTCTCCTTCCTGGGAATCCAGACTATACTCCACCATTTGATTTCCTCTGTAGGATATAGCCTGCATTCAAGCAGAGATATCTTTTTAACATTATTTTATTGATCTGTCTTAAGTGCTTAGGACCCAATGCTCAAACTCTCTTGTGCAAAGTGTACACAACCTTCAATTCCAGCAAAAATGTTGTTTGCCAAATTAATATACTCTTGCAAATGAGAAGCCTGCTTTTCCTTTTATAAAAGATATTTCTCATTCTTTGTAAAACACCTTATGTGCTTTCTTCAGTGCCTTTTTTACTTGCCACAAAAGATCTTAAATCTAACTCATTTAAATTTATATTGAACCTAAGTCATTTAAATTAAATCTAATTCAGTTAAATGTATTTATATGTTACAGTATATAAAGTGTCTTTCAGAGGAGATTAGTTCCCAAGGTAGCATTAAGAAAATCAAGATCATAAGGGGAAGTTGAGATAATACATTAAAAGGAAACAAAACCAAAAATGTTTGTTATGGGTAAACAAGGGAGATATTTATGCAAGTAAAGTGAGTTTTACTGGAAGTGCAAACAGCTGAAAGAGGGTTCAAAAGCTGCAAAAAGATTTTGATGCTTAGAGGGTATATTTCAAGATGAGGTCTCTTGATATGGAGTATGGCAGCATCAATTCTGCCGCAGTGTACAGTTATGAAAATAAAATGTGCTGAGGCATCAGTCTGCCTGATAGATATATTTTCAAACCTGAAAAAGCATTTAATTCTATTGCTACATCTTTTTTTTCTTTTTACAACCCTTTAACCCCTTTTCTTGGGGTGGAGTCGGGATGACTAATGGAGCTGAGCATTTACTGGCCGGATGTCCTTCCAGACGCCTACAAGGAGTTCACAGCAGATATTTTCCCTTTTCACCCTGATAGAGAAACATCTGCCACTGCCTAGGATTGAACTCTCAACCTTCCAAGTGGGAAGCAAGTGTTTTCACCTCTAGGCCACCGCACCACTCCTTATTGCTACATCGTATTGGGTTAAATATATATATATATCCCATATTCTCTTGAATATTCTTCCTGAATCCTGGGTATTTTTGTGTCAAATGTTTACTTCAGATTAAATCATATATTTTAACAAGCAAAAACCATACTTACGATAAGCATTTTTCTTTTAACTTAAGGGTGAATTACATCCTGTCCCAAGGCCATTCAGCTAATATCTGAAAATTAGTACTGGGGCCTGCTGCCATTTTGGCCATAAAACATATGAACTCTATAGTGCAGGCCTTAATATAGCTTAAAAAAAATAAAGGTCTACTGCAAAACTCTTAGAGCAGTCCACAAGCTAAACAGCTCAATATTGCTGATTTGCATTGTTAGCATCTATGAATCTCTTCCCAAGATTAAATATGGTCCTCAGCCATCAAAAAGTTGCTCATCACTGTTCTAGTTTAAAAAGCTATAGTTGACATGTTGACCATTAGGAAAACCAATATGAAAATTCATAAAGGCACCTTTATTGAAGTTGTACAACATTGTTACAAGATGATTGATGTTAAAGAGTTATTTATCAGTCATGTGGGTAGAAAAAAAGATGGGGGGAAAAAAGAAGGTTTGGTCATGGAGCCATTTTTTACCAGTTTCTCATGATTAGATAGAATAATGGGAACTTTCAGATCTGCAGATGGGTTCTTTACTGGTGCAGTGTAGCAGTTCATTCATTGCTATATGGAATTTGGATCATCTAGAGTCTAGCATGACTCAGATATATTATAATCTTTTAATTTTCAGCTGACTTCCTTATAGCTGTATCCAATCCCCATATAGTGTTCACTTGCACTGCATTGCTTAGTAGCTTGGTAGAATATTTGTTATGGCTATTTCCTATTGCATTGTTTGTCTGTTCCTTTATGGTTCCAAGCTGATAGCCTTTGAAGTGGAGAACGTTTGCAAAGCATGTAGCATTACACCACCTAGAGGCAGAGAGGAAATACTGCTTGTAGAGCAGTGCCAAAGGAAATACGTATTTGGGTGATAGGATTAAATCCAGTTACCTGAACTTTTCTGTTCCTGTAACTAAAGAGGAAGGTTTTATGTATTCTGAAGGCTGGTATCTCCCTAAAGTTTCCAGAAGCCCATGGGTAAAAAGGTTCATGAATTCTTCCTACATCCAATGCCACTGTAACCTTTTTCTTTTCTGGCCAGTTGTTAGTGATTTCCCACAGAAATATGGGAAAAGTCAAAATATTGAAATCCTTCTAGGCATTATTTTCATTTAATTGTTTTGAATGAAAAATGTCTTCACTCTTTTAAAAATACTATATTTGCCCTACATATATCCAACAGTAAAAATGGCTTTGGAGAAAGGGAGCTGGAGAAATGACATTTTCAGCCTGGTAACCAGAGTCCAGATAGGATTTTTTTTTACAGATTTTGGATTATCTATAGATGTTAATAAATAAATGATAGCATTTTCTGTCAACCTCTGTGCTTTTCCCTAGATCTCCTGACATATGTGATCAGGCATCCAGATTTCCTTCAAAACCAGACAGTGTATAAAGAGGTAAATAGAGTGTGATCCTTGTGGTTAATGAAAATGTGAAGATGTCTAAGACTTGATATGCTGAGGCCTCATTGTCCTTTGCTAGATCTGGTTAATTGATTGAGAGTTTAAAATAACATTCTTGCTGTTTAGTGTTGTTTTTTTTAAGGCAGTAAAAATGGTATCTGAGGTAAATCCAATGGAATATGCCCACTCCTGAAGGCAGCCTCCTGTTTAGTTTTCTATCCTTCTCTCTGCATTATGGACAAGCATCCACAGACTGCTAACTCTGTTAACTCTCTCTTGCTTCCCTCCATCTCTAGATGCTGAAGTATGAGACGGGCTTCCTGGTTTGTACTGTCATTGGCCTTCTGTTCATCGTCCTTGTGCCTCTAGTGGGCTTGTATTTCTGTTGCTGCCGCTGCTGTGGACATTGTGGAGGTTTCATGTACCAGAAGCAGAATAAGCACACTGTCTGCAAGAGACAGACTCTTTTTTGCTTTCTGCTGGGCATCACTGCTGTTCTTCTGTAAGTTTTATCCTATGAAGAACGACAGAACGAGCATGAGGGAATGTGACTATTCTATGGGCTTTTGCTTATCTTTATAGCCTCTGGTTTAAAGTAGCTACTCCTGCACCTCTACAGTAGATTGGTTTGCATTGACAGAAAATTGGGTAGCACCTTAAAGTTTATAGTTGTATCTCCTGAAGTGGACAATGATCCATGAAAGATGAAGTTGTAATAAATTGATTACTCTTTAAGATGCTTCTTGTTGATTTGGCAGCAAGAGGCTAATGTGATCAGTCCTCTGGAAACACACTGAAATCAGATCCCTTGATTTGTATGGATAAGCATTGTACTAACATAGCAGATGTTCCTAATATAATATTCACAGTGGCTGAAGGACAGAGTTAACTGAGATGTGAGTTCTTTTGTCCCCTTGGCAAGTCTGTCAGGATTGTTTGTATTTGGGGAGTGGTTTCCTGAAAGTTGGGCCTAGGATGGGATGGGCCAAGCAGGGAAGATGTAAAGGAAATGGCCATGGTGGGGGAGTAGATTCCACTGGGTGGGACTAAACAGTTACGAAGTTGCTCTATGGCCAAAGAGTGCAACCATATGATAGCAGCCTGGAATATTCCTGGTAATGCTTGATTTTGCCAAAACTCCCCTCAGCAATTTTTTCCCCAGAAGCAAGCACATTGTTAAAGCATAAATATGCCCTTGAGCATGTGTGGATTGCACACACACCCTTATTTTTCCTTACAGAAATTCCCACACATTGGAGTACCCTTACTATATAATTTGTTTCTATACTATTCCCAGAAGGACACAAAAATCAAAGTTAGCCATAATATATTTTTGTTAATGCAGGCAGGATTACAAAGATATTGTGTGTGGCATAATTAACCACAAGTGAGTTGATGGGGTTAGAGAGAGAAGGTGCTACAGAATATAAAATTATTTTGACAAATCACATAACTAGGGGATTCCCAGCTGAAATCACACTATGATTCTGCAATGTTAGAAAGAAAAAAAAGGCATTAAGTGCTGGCTCTGAGCCATACTTATTTTTTCCTTATATTCTGTTTAGCTTCACACATAATGCTAAGGTATCTTTTTAAACCATGTATTGTTGAACATAATAAACTACTTCATAGATAATGTTAGGGCAGAATTGGTGGCTTCATACATCATACAAAGCTAGAAAAACTCAACTCATTTTACATCTAAACATTTTACAAGATTTGTATCCCCATAGCTTTTCAAATACTTAACACAACATCAATGTCCAAATAAATTTTATTTATTTATTGCATTTATATCTTACATCAGTTGGATGAGACCTCAATATATTGCTATGTTTGCAGCCTACTGAATGATGTTACTTAGTTGCTCTTCACAACTTTGTTCTTTTATTTTTACTTCTTCTGCTAAAGGGCTGGAGATATATGTGCCTATGTCAGCAATCAACGTATATCCCAGGGTCTAGGGAGTGGTTTTGACATTTTCAACAAAACAGTGAGCAACCTGAATGTTTATCTGAATTCTATACCTCAGGTAAATGTGACCCCTCTATCTTATCCTATTTTTTTCATACCCTACTCTGTATTAGTCCCAGTTGCCATGCGGCTTGCTCTGTTTTCCAGCAAAATATCTTTGATTCCATTCCATTGCTTCCATTCTGTAGCATTTCTTCTACTTCTCTTGAGAAAATTGGTTGGCTCCTTTTAACCCACCAGCATGTTACTATTCTCTATCTATAGTTTTAATACTTCAGTGCCTGTACTAAATTACTTATCCATTGCCTGCTGGCAAATAAACATTAGATCCTGTTAATACTAGGGAAGATCCTACCAAAGAAACAGGTAAAGGTCTAAAGCTTTTCCATATCCTAGTTGAAGGCTAGAACATAGAGTAAAACTCTTAAGTAAATCAAAGAGATATGTCAGTGTTCATAATTGTTGTTGATGACATTGCATTTTCATGCAATCTATCTGTGCCTTCTATTATAGCCCATAACCAATTAACGTTAAAGTAGAAGCAATAAAATGTAATGATTTTCATAATAGCAGAAGGAGCAAGCAATAATTGCTGTTAACAGAAAAATGTTTAAAATGATTTTGATTTAGATTTTTACCAACAACATTGTTTCAGTAGCAGTTCCCTTCAAAGGCAGGTCTGCTTGGACCACTGTATCATGTCATACTGTATACAGGTAGTTCTCGACTTACAATAGTTTGTTTAGTAACTGTTCAAAGTTACAACGGCACTGAAAAATGTGACTTATGACTATTTTTCACACTTAACGACCATTACAGCATCCTCATTGTCACACGAGCAAAATTCAGATGCTTGACAACTGACTCATATTTATGACGGTTGCAGTGTCCCAAGGTCACATGATCCTTTTTGTGACCTTCTGACAAACAAAATCAATGGGGAAGTCAGATTCACTTAACTACCGTGTTACTAACTTAACAACTGCAATGATTCATTTAACAAATGTGGCAAGAACAATGGGGCAAAAAAATCACTTAACAAATTTCTCACTTAGCAATATAAATTTTGGGCTCAATTGTGGTCATAAGTCAAGGACTATCTGTACTTCTGAGAATTGCTTTTGTAGAACAATGGTTCCAAGAAATCTTTGCAAAAATCAGAAAAGTGTCTAAATCCACGAATGTTTTTTAACCATTAGCAACCAAAGGATATGGCAAGATTAGCAATCAGGGGATCTGGCAAGAAAAGATTGTAGAATAGAATCTTGGAATATCTGTGCTCTGGTTCCCCTTCACTGGAACTAAAATTACTTTTGGGTAGCCAGTTTGTGACCGTGGTTCATTTATATGCTTTCTTTCATAATGGTTTTTAATAAGACAATATAAATCCAAATATCCTAAAAATGTCAATAATATCTGAATACATAAAAAGCAGCATAAAACATCTAGTGAAAATGACTTAGAAAAAGTAACAATTAGATTATCTTAACAATCAAATAACATGACTGCTTTATGGCAAAAACAAAAAAGGCCTTAGAATTTTTTTTAAAAGCCTTAGTTTTTAGTATCAAAAAAGTGGTTGTCAAGCTTTATCTCAATGAGACCTTGCCAAAATTGGAGAGCTGTCACTCAGATGGTTGTGCTCCATACTTCAAGATAGGAGGGCATTTAGAGCAGGACTTCTAAAGATGACTGCAATGCACAATTAGCAGTTCAGAGAAAGGTACATCCTTTCAGAAGTTGTGCCCCCAAGTTGTGAAGGACTTCATTGGTTGTTACCAACTCTTTTTACTTGAAATGAGCCAGCACAGGAAACATATGATCATAATGCCCATTCCAATTATTTATCTAGCTGCTGTATTCTATACTAATGGATATTTCTAGACTATCTTCCAAATTAGCCCCATCTCTTTCTCTCTCCCTCCATCTCTTCCTCCCCCTCCTCTCTCATTTACTGTATTTACCTCTAGAAACCAAATATTGCATTTATTTTGTGTATCGTATTTTTTTCTGTGACAAAAAGCACATAGGACAGTTCCTTAGAAGTGATGGTTCCAGCAACTTTGCCAACTGAATCTATATACAGATAGTCAGTATGTGACTTTATATCTGAAATATATAGGAGAGCTTTTTGGTACAATAAACATATTTTAATAATCTTGTGTTCAAATTGTATATGACATCCTATGTTTTTCCTCATAATTTCCATGAATCCACGAATCCCAAGTTCAGGATTTTAGTTTTGTGTGCTATCTTCTCTGTTAACGTAGGATTTTATTTTATCTCTCCCACAGGAGATTAATGACATCATCACGTCTAGTAAAGTGCCACTGGATCAGGTTAATGTGAGCTTGTGGAGTAAGTTTATGCTTTGGCTACAATTCTGGGGAGAAAGATGTATGCAATCTCTAGTGAAAGAAAGTAAAAGATTCATGATGATGTATTGGAAATGTCTCAAATTGTGAAATATCATTTTTGCACTGCATCCTATGATTACAGAGAACCAGTTTAGGAAGATACCTCTGAATTTTTTCAGAGCATTCTAGAGAAATAGGAAACAAAGCATTGTGTACACTACCTTGAGTTGTACAAAATAAAGGTGGGGTATACATTTTTATTGTTATTTTTGAGTGCATGAGTGCACAAGCTTTTTTAGGCCAAGTGATGTGAATCATATCATCTTTTGGGGGGTTTCCATGTGTAAAGTGAAGGAAAAATGGGTATGGTCAAATGAAAAAATATATGCAAAAAGATATTTACATTTGCACATTTCTGTCCATCCATCCTAAAAATTTTAAATGGCCGTGGGGTTTTACAGGCAAATGGCAGTGGAAAAAATATTTCTGTTAGTAACTTTGTGTTGATGCTTTCCTTCTTTGCAGATATTGGTGATACCTTGGGGAGCAAGATCAAGGATAAATTAGGTGGACGAACAAACAAAGTATTAGATACAGCTGAGCAGCTTCTTCAAGGTATTGCAAGAGAGACTGGATTAGGAAATGGTATTGAGATATAATAGTAGAATGGAAGCCCATATACATTGGTAATAGAGGGTAACCCAGAAGTTGAAGGAACTTTTACAGAAAGTTCTCATAAAAAAGCCCTAGACTTTGTTATAGTTCTAGAGACAAGTGATTTGCTAACCTTATCATAAGAGATGCTATGACAAGAAAAAAAATCTTGTTTTTCTCTCCGGAGCAAAACCATGGGAACCCAAAGGCTAGGAAACTGCTGGAGACATATTGATTGATTTCATTATGTTTTATATGTTTGAGGGGTAATTCCCTGTGGACAAAATCAGTGCCAGGTCAAGAAACAGACATCAAAGGGATTCTAGGAATGTCATTTATTGTTATAGGATATAATAACAGAGTCTTAAAAGCCTGCTCAAGTTTCTCTCTGTCCCATCCTATCCAAACAAAATCAAGGTGGTATTATTTTGAATTTCTTTCTCATGCTTCTTTCTATTTCTGGACCATGAAACATAGCAATAGCACTTAGACTTTATATACCGCTTCACAGTGCAAAATCATGTCCAACTCTTTCCTTATTTAATGGTCTTTTATATCTTGCACAAGATCATCTCTGAGTTCTTTTACAATCAAGAACTAAGTGGATACTTCAGGTTGTGGAATTCTTCCTCAGTCTTTCCTCTGTCCTTCCTACTTTTTTTTTATAGACATTCAGAGCATAGACCAGGAACTCCAGGAAGTCAACCAGACTGGTGCTCGCTTGCAGGAAATACAAAAAGAGCTGAACAAAAAACTGACTGACCTGAGAACCGAGATCAATGCCACTCTGGAAGAATGTGGCAGCTCCTGTGGGGAAGTGTCCGTAGAGAACCTGACGCCTGAAGCCAATTTTGATACGGTAGAATGGGGTTTGGAAGAGAGAGAAATATATGAATGGGCAGGGTGGATTATTGGACGGCATAGGAAAAGATCTGATTGGGTCAAGGGTACGGTGAACTGTTCAGTGTTTTTTTGGGGAGGCATAGAAATTCAATTAATGATACATCTTAAAAGTCCGTCTAAGGAAGCATAATGTAATTGGGGTAAGATTGCTGAGATAATTGACCCACAGGAGGCTGAAATCAGAAGCCATAAAACCAAATGTATTCCCATTGTAACACGATACAGAATAGTTTACAATGTAGGAGTATGTTTTCAAGTTGTCTAGTTCTGTGTTCATTAACTCCTAATCATCCATATCACATTTCTATGTGGCAGCTCTTGCTTCATGTGTTTTCACTTCATCCCACTAGAAACATAGTACATACCCAATTGCTTAATTGGGGTTGATCAAACAATAAAAAGATAGGTTTTTGCATTATTTCTTTCTGCAGATTCCTGATGTCAGCCATCCGCTTAATTTGATATCTGATCTGACACGTTTAGATCTCAACAGTACTCTAATAAAGGTAACACCCTCCTTTTCTTCTACAATTCTCTTTCCAAGTATCTACTCCAGGTGCCAGTGCAATAAGATGGGTGCCCATGAGAGGTTGAGGAACAGGACAAAATAGTCACTTCAACAATCATTGGTCATTGTTTGGAGCCATTTTGTTCATGGACTGATGAACCCTATTTGTATGAGACCTGTACTATGTCCTTGAAAGGGATTAAATCTGTTAATCTGGGGAAATGGCAAATGTATCTTCTTGGGGGCTTTGTCTTTTCTTCAACAGCTTGGGCTCATGTTTTACTTGACTTACATTCTGAGATCTGAGCTTTGTTTGTATGTGTCTTCATCTGTGTCTGTCTGGATGTCTTTTGCTTGTAGGCAAGAAATTTCGTGAAAGAGATACCACAGAAAGTCTCTAATCAAACCAAAGAGGAGGTGTCTGGTCAGTAACCCAGTCATAGAATTTGTTCTTCATTTCAAGCATTATGCTGTGGTTTCTAAAGGCATGTAGGTGTAAGAAATTATTCATATGACTGACATTATAAGGTGCATTTATAAGAGAAGGTCTGACATGCCTCTCCCTCATTTGTGGATACCTTACAAGCACCCCCACTTCAGCTAAATATAGTTTTCCAATAGTCCCATCTTTCCAAAAGAAATCTTTCTATTTTCCTCCACATAAATTATGTAATTAATTAATTTATAATGTATGTATTGTGTTTATATCTCATATTTCCATTAGAGTCATAGAATTAGAAGGGAACTTTTAGGTACATTAATTGAATCGATTCCTTAATGCAGAAGTAATAAGTAAAATAATGCCAGATTACATCCCCTGAAGCACAGCTCACTATCTTCCACATACTTAGCTCCCCTATCAAACTATGACTTGTGGAAGTATTTTCTAACATTCAGCTGGAATCTCTCTTCTTGTTCCTTATGACCATTATTCCATCTCAATGATAGAGGACAGGTCTTAACTTCTGTATGACACGTCTTCATTTCCTTGAAAAGTGCTTTTATATTCCCCTTCTAAAATCTTTGCTCAGCTCTAAACATACCAATTTTTTTTTACTTTGTTTTAAAAATAAGAGTTACGTTTTAATCCCCTTGTTGCTCTTTTCTGCAAGTTTTTAACTGATGCTCTTTTAAAGCGTGGTGCCGAGAACTGGAAAAAGTACTCAAAGTAGAATATAATTATAACTTCTCCTGATTAGATAAATGAAATTCTGTTCACACAGTCTAAAACTGCATTTGACTTCTGAGTAGCCATATTTTGAGTTGCCAATTCCTATTCAGTTCTAAGATTTTTTTCAGATTTAGTATTATCAGGCCAGATATCCTCCCATGCTCTCTACCTGTGCATTTGTTTCATTTTTTTCTAAGATCTTCCTTTGTTTATTAGTACATTTGCTTTTGTGATTTTTCTCAAATCTATTAATATAATTTTTTATTGGGTTTTAATCCTAAATTTTAATATTTTCCAACCTGAAAACCTCTAGATATACAGACTTCTGGCATTTTCAGGAATGGCCATACTGACTGTGAAATTCTGGGAGTTGAAAATCATACATCTGGAAACATGTCCCAAGTATTAGCCGAGGTTGGGCAACACTATCTTGCAGTATTAGCTATCTACCTACTTTTATGTCATCTTCATATTTGATAAGCATTTCTGCCAACTGTTTATTTAAAACAATTAATGACAATGTTGAAAGATGCTACAAATAACTAAATATATAGTTATTAATAACAATACAGACTAAAGGTTTACTGATAATTAAAACAGAGTTAAAAATATATGTATCTCTATTTCTCTGTATGTATCTCTCTGTAATACAAAGGTCTATGTTATAGCTCAAAGCCTGTCTGAATAAATATATATATTGGCTTCCTGTTAGAAGGAAGCCTGGCGCCTCTGGAAGAAGATTCCAGAGCCCGGGATCAGCTACAGAAGATGTCTCCTCTTGGGTTTCCACCAAATATACCCCAAAGAGTAGGATGTCTCCAAAGGATTTTGGCAAGCATTGCTGGCATTTCAAAAGGCCTTGGCCCAAACTGTGTACCCCTTTATAAATCATAAGCAGCACTTTGAATTGTAGTCAGAAATTTAGATGCTTTACTCTGCTAGGATGCCACTATTTCAGTTCCTTCCACGCCACAGTCTTGCTGGCTTCCTAAATACACTAATGCTAGTGTCAGTATTTTTTGCCTAGTGATGTTTCCCCTCTTGGCATGAATACAGGGTTCAGCATTGTGTAGAATTTTAAGTAATCAGTACTCATAGATACCAAACCAGTTAGTAAGGCACACTTTTTGCCTGCAAAAACGCCCAGGTTCAGTCTCTGGCTTCTTCAGGAAGGACTGGAGAGATCCCTAGCAGAAAGTCTGAAGAACTGCTGCCCATTAAGTAGCCTGCTTGCTTACTGTATTAACTTATGGGGTGGTTTATTGTCCTATGTAATTATTTGCCACTCTGAAGATATTCACACTGTGGATGCAGTTTTTTTCTCACTGAATTAAGAGTGCAACAAAATTAGCCTAGACCAATGTCATCTCCAAGTTTCCTGTTTCTAACATCTGTGCAAGTTAAGAAAGGCTTCAGTGAAGCACTGTACTTGTGTAGAAGCCTTTTCCAACTTTGGTTAGAGGTAGAGGAGACTCCACCAATCACGTAGTAGAAGAAGGCTGCAAAGAAACTCTCAGCCATTGAGAAGGTGGGATAGACTTCTATGCAGGTGCTCTTTTGGTTTTTGTAACTCCCAGAGGATGTTGAGAGGTGGTTGAGAAGCAGAGCAATGTGAAGCAAATGATTCCTTTTAGTCACACCTTAGAGAGTATTTCACTTGAAATTTCATCAAAGTGAAGTATCCCTCTGAGGACTTTCACAGTCTAATCAGTTTGCTTTTTTAAATATTTACTTGTGTAGATGTACCCATTCAACCTACCTATATTTGAATCAGCCCATTATGGCTTGCTTAATTAACCACAGTAAAAAAATCCTGGGATTTTGTATGAACATTAGACAGTGCAGATAATATGTGTAAGATGAAGATCTGATGCAGTATTAGGTAGATTCCTATGTTTTTCATGATTTATTGTTTTTCAGCCTCTTTGGTCAAACATATCTAGTTTCCTGAATTATTCTACTTATTCTTCCCATGTGTAGCTATTTTCCTGCTCCTACTACACCCTGACTTTAGTTTCATTTAATGGGAACTGATCCCTCAAAAATAATGTAATCTTCACTCCCAGAATTTGCAGTCAACTTTGTCTGTTGTTTATTGCTTTGTTAAAGATGCCTCTTAGGTAATTAAAAAGTTGAATTGCATCACTTAAGATTAAGATGCAGTGTAAATTGTATCTGTACAGAGTACAAGTTGGAGAGCTTAACATATCCATTGTCCTTGGATAATTGCTGCTATTGTTTAGGTGATCCATGATAATACACATAGTATAACGATTTACCTGTGTTGGCTCCAATTATTAAAGATATACAGGATATACTTAACGAAGTCAAGAAGGGAATTAATGCAATCAGTGATAAGTTTCACACGCTGGTCTCACTGAAGAATATCACTGCATTCATGGAAAATCTTGTAAAGAAGGCAAATGACTACAAGCCAGTTGTGGTCCAATATGATGGCTACAGGTAGGAAAAATTTCTCAATTTTTCATATGTTGCAGAATTACTTGGGGTGATATATGCATTCCATTTTAATAGACAGAAAGTCAGTTATAGAAAAAATGGTGTAGCTCAGAAGAAAAATGAGGCTTCTAGAAATGTCTGAGGTACTGTTTCAAGCATGTTGTTTGAATGACCAGCACCTCTAATTTGCAAAAGTTTAAGGATCTATTTAACCATTTAATCAGAATTTAATACTAGTTTTTATGCTCTGAGCTTGAATTGGGTCTTATTATTTTCATTACTTCCTTTAACTTCTAGTGCCTATGTTCATAATGCACTGAGCTACAAATGATCCAAGCACATTTTAGCCTAGGATGCAAACCCAGCTCATGCAGGTACTTTGTGGTTTAATGTGTTATGTACAGTACCTGAGAAAATTTGGTTACTTGAGGAAATTATAATCCTGGTTGGTAAACATCCCATTTGAACAAAATTAAGTCTGTTGTAGATGCTAGCACAGCACAGTCTTCCTTATTCTGATTTCAACTGAATTGAACTGATTTGACTCAACTGAGTGTATTTTCACCCCTTTCCTTCCTTCATTGTTTGAAGTCTGAGTGTTAACTAGTTGATTTCTTTCACTACAGGTGGGGTGTTGGCATCTGCCTTTGCTGCCTGCTGCTTGTAATAATTGCATTCAATGTGTTGGGTCTTTTGCTTGGTAGTCTTGGGCTAGATCCACATGGAATGCAATGGCCTACCAAACGGGGCTGCCTCTCCAACACCGGTGGAAACTTCTTTATGGCGTAAGAAATGTTCTCTCCTGTTCAATATAGGGAAATAACTGAAAATAACTTCTTTATATCCTTCCAGATCATAACCAAAAACACTGCTGATATTTTTATGTAATGTTAGTTGCTTTGGAGAATGTACTTTATAGAAAGTTTTCTAATTTTACACTTAGCATAGATTTCTATCAGGAAAACAGAGATTGGTACTATACACAAATGTCACTGTTAATGCCAAGGTACACTACTAAGTTGATAATGTCCTCTACTTGCCTCAGCACATTGTTTTCCTGTCTTGCTCTATGGATCTTCACACTAAAGTGGCACCATGAGAATATAAGACCCAACTGTAGAAGGTTCTATGGGTTGTTCACATCCAAATCAATAGTTGCAATGTAAACCTCTGATTAATTCTCATCTTTCATGACAGGAGTGTTGGATTCAGCTTTATATTTTCATGGTTGCTGATGTTGCTGGTTCTACTGCTATTTTTAGTTGGGGGCAATTCATACACGTTGGTGTGCCAGCCTTGGTCTAATGGAATTCTTCTTCAGGTAAGCCACCTAGGTTGCTATTGTACTCATAACTGCTAAGTGTCCCCTCATGGTTAGGAATGAGAAGACAAGGGGCTGCGTAGAGTTGGTTGATAATTGAAGTGGCACATAAGCCTAATAAAATAAATGCATAAATATTATGACAGAGGGGAAAAGGTTAATTCATGGTTATAGAATTAATAATCGTTTATTAATTTGCAATCTTTGTTTGCAGTTCCCTCTTTCAACTTTCATAAGTCATTGTTATTTCAGTCACTAGCTGCAGTAGTTTCAGCTTCGGGAGAGGAGAAAATACAGCTAGAGGGATCAGTAAAGAGTTTAAGAAAATTTAGAAAAGATTTCATCAGATGCTACTTATCTTTTTTCTAGTATCTGGACACATCTGGATTGTTCCCTGAATTAAATGTGAAGAAGGTCATGAATATGAAGGGTTCTGATGTAAACCTGACCAGCATATACAAGTGAGTGCCAAGCTGCTTGGGTGAACTGCCATTATGTTTGTCCTCAGTTTCCTTGTGAGGAAGGAGAATCTGGAGAGAACATAAATGTTGCAGGCTTAGTGAAATAGAATTTGGGGGGGGGGGTGTACAGAGGAAAACCTGTAATGAAATACATGGAAGCACTACACAGATTAAAGTATTTATAAATGAGTTAAAGCTTGCTAGAATAGCATATGAACCATATTCCCAGAATGTGGTCTCTGCACAAATCATGTGCTTTAAGTCCTACTTTGAAAGCTTTCTCCTAAGCAAGTCCCTTCAGTTTCCCCTTCCCAATGGATGAGCTCCTCTTACCCCATCCCATCCCTCCACCTCCATTGGTCCAGGATAGTCTATAGATCATCTAAGTCAGGGGTGTCAAACTCACAACGTCATGTGACGTGTCACAATGTATTGCGACTTTTTTGCCATTGCCGGCAATAGGGTGGGCACGGTTTCACCATGACGCATCCGGTCTGCAGGCTGATAGTTTGACACCCCTGACCTAAGTGATAGAACCAAGTTGAAACCGCTGAAAATAGTGTACATATTTTTGCTATCAGTGACCACAAAAGCTGAATTTTTCTCACCTGCTCCTTGCAAGGAAGAGGAAGACTTGTTTGTGTGTGCAAGTGATAGGAATGAATACAGGTAGTTCTTGACTTATGACCACAATTGAACCCAAAATTTCTGTTGCTAAGTGAGATATTTGTTAAGTGAGTTTTGCCTCATTTTACAACCTTTCTTGCCACAAGCAAATCACTGCAGTTGTCAAGTTAGTAAAATGGTTGTTAAGGAATCTGGCTTCCCCTTTGACTTTACTTGTCAGAAGGTTGCAAAAGGTGATTACATGACCCCAGGAAACTGCAACCATCATAAATATCAATTGGTTACCAAGCATCTGAATTTTGATCGCATGATCATGGGGATGCTGCAATGGTTGAAAGTGTGAAAAACGGTCATAAATTACTTTTTTCAGTGCCATTATAATTTTGAATGGTCATTAAATGAACTGTTGTGAGTCAAGGATTACCTGTAATGTGCCTGCTTCTACAGTAAGGCCATTCTGAAGATATCTGTGAAGATTCTCAATCATCTAGGTCAGAGCTTTTCAACCGGTGGCATGTGTACCACCTGTGGTACTTTGGCACATGGCAGGTGATTCACAACATCCTAGAGAAATGTAGCGGGGGAGGGGAATGAGCTGAAGAGACCCAAGCCTAAGGGAGAGGCAGCTGGACCTGCAGGACTGTCGGGCCTTGGCAGAAGCCCCAGGAGCACGGCAGGGCTCCAGCTGATTGACTCCAGCTGATTGCACTTCTGGAAGCAGCATGGAGCTGGAGGTGAACTGAAGAAAAGGGGGGGAGGGGGGGAGGAGAGGATATAAAAATAGATGTTTTTTGTGGGAAAGGGGAAAAAAGACAACAGGGAAAGAGAAGAAGACGGAGAAGAAACTGTGGAAGGAGAGCTCAGCAGGCAGGGAGGAAAAAGAAACAGGGGAGAAGCAGCAGCTGGTGCTGGAAGAAAAGGTCCCCTAGTTCGTTTTCTCCAGCCAAGAGAATACAATCAGCGCTGATGAAATGAAAAGCTGGCAGATGAGCATGTTGGAAAGGAGGTGGGTTTATTTTGGAAGCCAGTGGGTTCCTGGTCAACTGGCAGTTTGAATGGATTACCATAAGGATTTTTAATCCCTTTAAACAAATGTAATTAATTTTACCCCCTTGAGTCTGTCTATGGCTTTTAGCAAGTTTTCTTTGTAGGTAAACAGGCTTAATTTAAGGTTATAGCTTTTTGCAACTGCTGGAACTTGTTTGCTACATTGTTTAAACTGAGACAGGCCTGAGGCAGCTTAAAGGAAAAAAACACATAGTCAGTGTTTCTTTATTCTGGGAGGCTTTTGTGAGCCTTTCTTGCTTTGCACTTGATTCCTGTGTCTTTAAGGGTACAGGGAAAGGACTAGGTGTGTGTGTGTGCATTCTTACTACACTGTGGAAGGACAGCTCAGAAGGCAGGGAGGAAGAAGAGGAGAGGGGGAGAGGAAGAAGGGCCGACCAGTTAGCTCAGGGGTCTACAAACTTAGGAACTTTAAGACCCGTGGATTTCAACTCCCAGAATTTCTCAATCAGCCATGATGGTTGAGGAATTCTGGGAGTTGAAGTCAACAAGTCTTAAAAGTGCCAGGTTTGAAGATCCCTGAGCTAGGTGGTAGTGGTGCATATTAATAAACATGGATAAATTCGTCATACATTTGTCAATGCAAAGGGAACATGATTCAGCAAAGGAACAGCCACCAAAGAAATTAAAACCAGTACTTTTAAACTTTTTTCTATAGTTTGTAACATTTTATTAGATTATAGAATAAAATACAAAAGCAAATAGTAGGACACAGTGGGGAGGAAAAAGGGGGGGAAAGTGAGGGGGACAAGGGAAAAAGAACAGATTTCTTCTGTTGCAGTAAAAGGAAGCACTAACATTGAACCTCAAATTTTTACTTTTCCATAATATTATAAACTAGCCATTTCTATAACAACAAATGAATCTAATCAGTAAAACCCAAAATCCCCCCCCCCTTTTTTTAATTCATCAAGTTTTTGACACCTTGCTAAGCACTGGTGGTACTCAAATATTGTCATGTCCTAAAAGTGGTACAATCTGTGAAAAGGTTGAAAAGCCCTGATCTAGGTCATGGTTGTCCCAAATGTGTTTTTTTCCAAAAAGCAACTGGACTTTGTTAATGTTTCCTTTGACAACATTTTACTTCTCATTCAAGAAGCTTCTTCAGTTCAAAGAAAGTACTAAGAAAGCCCAGTTGGTTTTTTTTTGTTTTTGTTTTTTTGAAAAAAAAACCCACATTTGAGCCATTCTGAAGAGCTTTCTAGCTATGGACCAGAGGGATGGGGAGACCTAATGTGCAGGACTGGAGAGCTTGTTCTGTGGGGTAATGTTCTTATTCAATTTATCCTTCATATAATATTATGCATCCTGTTTTCCTCTTTTAAAGAAATTGTGAAGACAATGCACCCTTGTGGAGTACCCTTCACCTATACGAGACCATTTCTTTGAATGACACCTTCAACATCAGCAAGGTAAATGATGGCTCCCTATATAATGAATCAATCCAGTGATAGAGAAATGCCATCATTGGTTAACTTTTTGCTCCCAGACATCATCTTAGGGTTGTCACCAGGAATAGTTTAAGCATTTGGGAATAGGGCACAGCTACAGCCCTCTTGGACAGTTCTGGAGAATGTACTGCAGAACAAATGATGTTGTGCTCTGCATATACTCCTCTGGCATTTCTGTTTTTTTCTCTAGTACACTCAAGACATTGATTCAGCCTTGAATAAAACAAAAATCGATATTGGCTCTATTGAACTTCTGAAGGATGAACAAAAAAACAACTTGCTGAAACTGAGTTCAAAAGATGGGCCTCTGAATGTGGATTTTAACAGTACTCTTGAACAAGTAAGATGGAAAATAAAGAAAAGGTTTGTGAAAGAAAGGAAAAAAATTGATATAATTTCCTTCCCAGAACAGGAGCTCACCAGACATTCTTCTGTATTTGGTGGAGAATGGGTGATGTTCACATCTGTTGGGGAACACATTGCTGTTTCCTGGCAACAGGAGTTAAGAGTCTGTCACACAAGGATTCTGAGTTGATGTTGTCAAAGTAGTTTATTGGCAACTGCTCCAATTGTAGCTGTGTTTGGTGAAGCCCTGAGGTTCGCATCTATAGCCAAACAGTAGTTGAGAGAATATTTAAAATATGTACTTCTAAAGTTTTGTGTGGGGTTTTTAAACTGTTCTTTCTTTAACATGTACGGTATGTTTCTTTTGGGCATTTGGTATAGATTAACATCTCAATATAGTATAATAAAATAATAAAAATGCAATGAAAACATGTCATTCTTTATAAATAATAGTAACCACAATGAATAATTCAGCAGTGATCAGACAGGCCAACTTGATTGATCAATTTGCCTGCTAATGCTGCTATGAAGAGGAGAGACTTTACCTAGTCCTTAAAGGATAATCAGAAAACCTGATGTATTGGGATTGCTCTCCTGTCAGAAAACAGTCATAAAAATACCTATGTATCCAAAAGCAAATAATCTAATAGTTGCTAGTAGACATTTGAAAAATCTCTCTAGCAGTTCAGCAGAAAAGAGGGATAAAGTGAACTCACTCCTCCTAGTGACAGGATGAGGAAAAACAATAACATATATTAAAACATGAGTATTGACTAGTAAAATACAGTATGCAGAAATACTTAAAAGTAAATCTGCCTTCAATTCTATATTTAATTCATTCAAGTGTATTTTGCTTGCTTGACTTCTGTGTTCTCTTTTTCTCCTTTTTCTATAGCTTAACCAGAATCTGACCAAACAAGACCTGAATGTCTTGGCTAATAAATTGGAAAAACTGGCAGAAAGAGTGAGTAGTCTTTGGGCAAGGATACCCACATGGTCCTATATAACTGTCTTCCTCAACTTCTAAGATATACAGCAGATGTTATGGGAAATCCTTTTGAGTAGACATGGAATTTTGTAGATGCAGCTATTCTCCCAGCTGCCACTGGAAGATGTAAACTGATTGTGTTCTAAATTGTGTCTTGGAATGTGGCCTTTAAGTAGCTTTGGCAGTGAACTGCACAAAAATAATAAGAGATCAGGAAGTTCTGGATATTAATAATAAAAAACCCAGTATCCTATCTGATTCCCTACAACTCTGGACAGCTCACAAATAAATACATTTAATAAAATAAAAAAAATATGGCAAACACAACAGACCAGATGGAATGGGTCTCACTCTCCCTCACCAAAGGCATGGGTGATAGCCTTGAATTGCACCTTAAATCATACCCAGAAGCAAACTAGCAACCAGTGCAGCTTGTGAAGCAGAGATGTTACATGGGCACACAAAGGGGTGCACATCACTGCTCTTGCCATTGCATTTGGACCAGTTGAAGCTTCTGGAAAGTCTTCTAGATGTTTAAAGGGCTGTCAGTGTAGGGTGCATTGCAGTAGACAAACCATAAGATGACTAGGGCATGAACAACTATCTGAAGGGACTCCCAATCTAGGAAAGAGCAAAACTTGTACATCAGATGAAATTGTGCAAATACCCTCCTGGTACCAGCTAACACCTGCTCATCAAGCACGAGCTGCAAGTCCAGGAAGGTTCCCAGATTGCACACCAAATTTGAAGAGGAATGTTACCTCTTCCATGGTCAAAAATGGAATATGTCTGGGCTTAGAGAAAGGAAGAGAACCCCTCTAAAATTCCTCCCCCAATCCCTAATCCATGGAGTTATCTCCGAAGGATACCATGGTCAGTGATACTGAAAGCTGCTAAGAGATCAAGGAGCACATGATCTCCATCTTGGCTCAACCACATGCTCAATCAATAAGCGTGACCAAGGCTGTCTCAGTACTAAATCCTGGCCTGAAACTTCACTGAAACAATTGGAGTAGGACCTGTTTTAAACTAGAAGGTAGTTGTTGAGGTTGAGTGGAATGAAATGGGGCATTGAAATTACAGAGCACAAATGCTAATTGAATATGACTCCATGTCAAGTTTAATGAACACACACACACACACACACACTCATTCATTCATTTATTTTCAGACAACTGGTAACACAAGTCGCAATCTGCAACATCAAGCTGCTGAGTTGAAGAACATCCAAGATTGGATAAACCTCAAATTTCCTCCAGAAATTGTGAGTGTAGTTTCCCTTGTCTCTCTTTATCTTCTTTGATCAAACCTGGTATCACTGAATGAGGAATTTATTTTTTCTCTCCCTCAGCAAAACTTGAAGAGAAGCATCCAGAAGTTACAGAAATCTGCACCTCAAATTCCAGTAAGCAGGCTGGGTGGAAGTGAAAAACTGGAAAAGGGGAATTTGATTCTAGGGTTCCTAAAGATTTCTGTAAAGGACCTTCCTTGAGATATTTCAGATGTTCTGCTAAAGGCCAATTTGTTTGGGCCTTGGGATAGAAATATAAACTTGTCACTTCATATTACTAAATGCCAGCTGGGGAGTTCAGAAATTTATCTTGGCATAAAAAGGTTTCCAATGGGTGTGGAAGGTCCATCTATAGCATTAGAAGAGCTATTTGTGTGAAGCTGAATATCTTTGATTTAAAATGCTTATTAACATCATTCCCTTCATGTTTAATTTAATAAAATATATCAAAGGACTTGTTCCAGCTTTCAATATGCTGTGGGATATGCGATGCTAGGTGTGTAAGCTGTTTTTCTTGAGCAGACAGCTCAGATATACTTGAATAGAAACTTTTGAAAGAACCTAACACCAATGTATCCCACCAGAATCTGATAAACTTTACGCTGTCGGAAATAAATGACACCAATTCATTTATACAGCACGAAACAGAGGAAATCATAAACAGCGTAAGTCTTCATGAGTACCTTAGTATGTTTTTTTGTTTATTTATTTACTGTGTGAGTAAACTGTGCCAGTTGGCCCCAGTACTTTGGTCAGAACTGACATCAGCAATCTAAAGTGAGAAGTGGGACACAAAAACAGAGGTGGGGATGAGCAGAAGTGCCAGGATACAGTATGTTACTTCCTAGGGCTGTGCATGCTTAAAAAAAGGACTTAGAAAAAGTGCTTCAGACATTGCGGGAGTGCTCTTGTTCATTAAGTGGCCTGAAGGAAAATGCTGCTACTTTAAGGAATCCACTCATTAAGCTAATAGGTAGATTCCTTAGGCTAGCTTCAAATCCTGAAAAACATTGTGCTACTTTCATGAATATAGGTAGTTCTTGACTTATGACACAGTTGGGACCAGAATGTTGGTTGATAAACAATATTGTCATTAAGGAAGTCATCACATGATTGGATCCAATGTTATGATCATGTTTACTGCAGTCATTAAACAAATCATGTATCATTAAGAGGATCACATAGTCTTTAAGTGAGTCTGGCTTCCCCAATTGACTTTGCTTGTAGGAAAATGGCTGGGCAGGTCACAAATCTCAAATCACATGACTACAAGATACTGCAACCAGTTGTAAATGGGAGTGAGTTGTCAAGTGCCCAAATTGCATTCATGTGGCCATAGTGTCAAGCTATGAAGATTTCTTGCATTAGGACTGCCATGCTGCTTCTAGATTGCCTACACTTACGGGGAGTGGAAGGTTTGGAATGCACAGGTGGTTTCTATCAGTATGGGAAAGAAGGTCACCAGAGAGATGTTGTGGCTAACAGAGATTGTCTTCTCATAATAAATGCTTGAAGACTAATTGGACAATGTGACCTGAAGTGTCAGAGAGGGAGGGAAAATTTTACTCTTTTAATTATCTTTTTCCCGTCATATTGCCAGAGCTGGTTTTCCATTCTTTAGTGCTGGTATGCTTTGCCCAATAAAGTTTTGCATTAGAGATCAGGATGTCTCCAGCTTCATTGGGTTCTTCAACCAGAACCTTGATAAATAAGAGTTTTATCATGGTCTTAGCTTTGAGAACTGGTCATAAGGCACTTTTTCTAGGCTGTTGGAACTTCAGTCATTAAACAAATAGTCGTAAGTCCAGGACTACCTGTAGCAGTATGGTCCTGCTTCTTATGCTTGCCTGAAATCTGAAGAAGTTATTGAGTACCTAATTTAAGCATGGAGAACCTTATTACCTCTAGCAGATCTTGCATGAAAGAACTCTGCTTGCTCTCTCCTTTTCTCCCTGCCCCCTGAGTTTTCTAGAGCTTCATTTCCATTCATGGACATACAGGATATTTATGCTCCAAAACTCACGGATCTGCAATGCAGTTTATACAGGATATTTACACCAAAACCGAACCATTTCCTGATTTTGAACCCATCCTCTTCTCTATTTCCATCTAGGAGATCAAGACTTTTATACTGCACATACTGAATTATTTTTCCTCTTATGTGAGCTGGGCTCAGCGTGTTGTAAGTACTATCAATTATTTCTAGTGGAATAAGGACGGACTTGCTGGATTTACACTTTTATCTTGCCAAGTACAGTTATCTGTACTTGTTCAAACCCTTACCAAACAACATGTAAATTTAGAGGCATGACTATTTTTTAATCCAAGAACCTTTCCATTCCCTTGGTATGTTGTATGAAGATCATTAGAATTGTTTGATGAGCCAGAAAAAACTTATCTATTTGTTTCAATATACCCATTGTGCTTTGTTAATCTGGATTTAAGCATGTTGTATGAGAGCAGCCATTAGGTTTTTTTTCCTTATTTTTTAAAATGAAAATGCAGAATACAGTTATTGAGGGATTGAACTTTTCTTTCTGGGTTGGAAAAGAAATTGTAGATTTCAAAATATATGGTGATCAAATAATGAAAATTGTTGTCCAGAAGAAGACCAGGGTTTGGTTTTCTCTGATGAAACTTCTCTAATGAAATGTTTTGTTTTGCTTTTAAATCTTTGTTCCGACAGATCATGGGACAATTGGGTCGTTGCGGCCCTGTAGCCTGGGCACTGGACAGCATGAATACCGTTGTCTGCAATTACCTTGTTGATTCTTTGGTGAGGAAATCAATACTTATCAGAGAGCATTAATTGAGATATAGGATTGCTAATCATGTCAACCTGAATTTAAGGCAAGAGATAGTGTTACAGAGGGTGTAACACTAAATTGTAAATAAGAGAGCATATCATTATAGTTGTCTTGGTGGTCAGTTTGTTGTAATGTCTTAATTTTGAGAAAAAAAATGTAGGGAAACATTAGAGGTGCATATGCACACATGAAAGCTATGCCTTCTGAATAGAAAGGGGAGTAGGAGGTACATAAAGAAGGCTCTAGTGCGTGTTAGGACCAGAATGTGCAAATACTTAACTGTTTGAGGATATGTCCATTATTAGAGATACTGTATTTCTCTTGGCAGTCTCAACCAACTAAATCTGTACTGAAACACTTGAAGCATTGCCTCCAACACTTCATCCCTTCTCTTTCCCCCTCCTAGAATGCCTTCTGGTTCAGTCTGGCCTGGTGCACAATCTTTCTGTTGCCAAGTATCATCTTGGCTGTGCGGCTTGCCAAGTTTTATCGTCGAATGAGCGTCGATGACATATATCAGTAAGGATGATTTATTATGTAATAGGGGATGCTGCCATGGCTGTGGGCTTCAGCCTTTCATTTTCCCAATATTGTCTATGAACTAGCTTGAAAATTTCTTCAGAATCATCTGTGCAAGTACCCCCAACTTCTTGGGGCTACATTTCCTAGGAGAACTGCTTCAGAAATGTGATCTTGCTATAGCATACCTGGAGACTATTTTCCCTGCCTCTCTTTGTGATGATGTCCAGTTCAATCACTACTTTGTCATTGACACTATCCCTTTCTTTCTATTAGGGATGAGATTGAGATTATCGAAAACTTTGAACTGTGAGTATCTTTCCATAGCTGTGATCAATCTTTGCTAGGCAGCATTGTAGTTCAAGCAAATGTCAGTATTAAGCTAAAGAAGAGCCATTTAATTAGCCACTAGAGCAGGGGTGTCAAACTGCCGGCCTCCAGGCCAGATGCGTCATAGCGAAACCGCGCCCACCCCATTGGTGGCAATGGCAAAAAAAGTTGTGATACGTCATGACACGACATGTGACGTTGCGAGTTTGACACCCTGCACTAGAGCGTGAAAGCCATTTGGGGTGTAGAGAATACCAAACAGTGTAGGCAGCTCCTTGTTCTGGTGTTAATACTTAAAAAGAAAATGACCGTAATGGTCTGTAGAGTGGGACACAGCCATCATTACAATACTAGAAGTCAGTGATGGCAAACCTTTTAGAGACCGAGTGTCCAAAAACTGGCCCCGCCCCTGCTCTACCCCCTGCCCCGCCCCCCACCTGCCTGCAGGGCCATTCACCGCCTCCAAGGCCCACTGCAGATCGCCCAGGCAGCCCAGCAGCGCCATGGCGGCCACGCCCTCTGCCTGCGCCCCGCAGCATTAACTCTGCAGGATGGGGCAAGAGGGCAGAGTCTTGTCTACGCTGCCTGGCTGCCATGTCCTTGGCTGTGCTGCTCCGTGTGGGCCACGCTCGGGGGCGACTCTCCTCCAGGGTGGCTGCTGGTGAGGGGGTCGTGGGGGGAGGCAAGGCTGGGGCAATGGCATGTGTGCCCACAGAGAGGGCTCCGAGTGCTGCCTCTGGCATGCGTGCCATAGGTTCGCCACCACTGCTATAAGTTTTGCATGCTGACTTCATTTGCAAACAAATAATGTTTGGGATGCTAAATAGTAGTGTGGTGGTATATTTATCAGGGTAGACAGGATTTTTAAAGCCCTGTCTTAGAATGAACCTATAGTGAGGGATTGAGAGCTGCCAAACAACAACAAAATCCTTAAAGTTTCTTACTTCCATATCATCCTTACTCTTATTGTTGCTTACCAACCATCAAGGTTCAATTTTCTTAATTTCTTCTTCTTCTTTTCCCATTATAGGTCAAGGCAAAACACATTCAAAATGCCCCGGGCTGAGCTGAAGAAATAACTTTTTTTCCCCCAGCATTCCATCTCTGAGCTGCTATGAAGACAGCAATGGTCTAGAGAATTCTTGGGTTTCTCTTCACATTGTGCAATGTGTGGATCTTTGCCACAATTTTTCCCTGAACAAGTTTGTAAGATGGCAGTAACTTTTCCCCTACAAAAGAGACTACTGTGCCATAAGCTCTGTCACAGAGAAGTGTAGTATGGCTGTACGCTCAGGGTATCAACAGGGTTGTGCTCTGTTATAGAGATTAGGCTTGCAGTCTTAATGCTGTCCATACTCAAGAGGCTGCATTCTACTGAATTACTATACAGATCTCCAATATATAGCAAAACATCCTTACAGTAATACTTTGACCCTCAGCAGATTTAGAAATTTTTGCTGTATTAAGCTGAATTGCAAATAGTGCCTTGCTGGATACCTACTCCATACCTACTCTAAAGGTTAATACTCTGGAAGAGAAAGCAAATATGAGCCATAATGAAATACTACTGAGCAGTTCTGTATCAGGAAGAAAGAATTGCCTTAAATTTTATCTAGAGCACTTTGAAGAGTTTGTCTTGTGCTTCAGTACATCATTGCAATCTACAGATGTATGTTTCTCTCTTTTCCCCTTCCTCACATTCTCCAATACTTGATTTGCATATTTTGGGCATTTATCTCCTCCCCAATAATACTGAACCATGAATTTGTCAGAAATGTGATTCTCATGAGAATGGGGGAAATTCTCTCATCAGGTGAATAGAATTAGTAATATTTATTATGAAATTAGTAATAGGAATGAATGCATTTAGATTAATGCAAAATGAATAATGAAAAGATGATACGATAACCATTTGGAAGAGGAACAACACGAGGATTCTATTCCTTTTAGATTAGTCTTGTCTGATCTGTGGCACTCCAGATGTGTGACATAATTCCTAGTCAGTATTAGAAATTTGAAGTTTAGGGAAAGACTGGACTAGTAGCAGATAATACAGGTAGTCCTCAACTTACAACAGTTCACTTAATGATCTTTGAAAGTTACAATGGCACTGAAAAAAATGACATGACTATTTTTCACACTTGTGACCAATTCAGCATCTCCATGGTCATGTGATCAAAATTCAGACACTTGGCAACAGATTCATATTTATGTCAATTGCAGTGTGCTGGAGTCATGTGATCACCATATGCGACCTTCTGACAAATTAGCTTTTAGAAGAATTTGTGAAGGATTACTTAAAACAATAGTAACAAATGAAATCTCATTAATCAAGGAAAAATGAAAACATTACATAAAATGTAACTATCTCATCCAGATATTGGGTGTGGGGGGTGGCTCATATTTCAATTTTTTGGAGCAACATGCAAACAATCAAGAGTTTAATATACACATTCTCACTTTTACTTACTCACTGCTACGACATCATTAAGATTGACCTTGTCTTAGCAAATTATCTACAACTCCATTTCTTTTTTTTCTAAGGGGTTTATGAAAACCTACAATATATGGGAAGCAATTCAAGATAGCATGCTATCACTTAGCCTAGGACAGTAATTGTTCCTAGCAGCTTTTGTCTTACTTAAATTATGTCTTATTTCCACTAAATTTCATAAAGATATTTTCAGTTGCCTGAATTATATGATTTCTATTATATAATAAATTTTATTTGATTCTATGGAAGACCAGGAGTGAAAAAGACTAATCTAGAGTGAAAATTACACTACTCCCCTCCTCCCTAACTACTTTGCCAAGAAAGATACTTGAATCTGTACAAATGCTTTTGCTTCTCATTTGAATGAATATAATTATTTTTATTAATGTATTGTTTTTCGTTTGTAAATTCAAGGAAATTATATTTTTCATAGCTTTTATAGGATTTGAGGTAGGCCTTGGATACTTAGCATTTATAAATTGTTGTTCCCCAAGAATGACATCTTGCTGTTACTGGAATTGCAGTGTTAAATATTAACATAAATCAAGAACAAATAATCAGGATATCAGTTTTGGACCTTGCTTGAAAATTAGCTGGCTGCCCCTGGCTGCCACAGTGTAAGAAGGAAATCCCAAATGGTCAGGAAGCTGTTTTGTTGGACTCGAAATATTTTAATAAAAGAAACCATACTTTCTAATGCTGCTGTTAAATATAACTTTGGTGTATTTTTGTAATGATGTGACAAATGCTTATTCAACAGGAATTTACCTGTCTCAAAATTCAATAGTTGACCAAGCCAGAACATTCACTAAGATAGCTGTTTTATCAAATTAATAATTGTAACAATTGTTTTCTTGATGTTTTGCACTCACTTCCAACTCCCCTCCCATCATATTATGAAAGCTAGTATCAGATCAGTTATGTTAAGAGACACTTAATCAACTCTTCCCCAAACATTCAAGAGACACTTAATCAACTCTTCCCTGAACATTCCAGTTAGATAAGGCAGGGATATTCCCAGTTTTATAGAAGAAACTGGGAAACTAAGATTACAGCTCTTATGTTAGGCTCAAGAGACAAAGAGATCCTGCTAGCAGTTTGCTTGCTGTATTTTTTCTTCCCAGACGTGGTTTTTTTCTCTTAGTTGACATTCTTCCAGGTCAGACTATGAATTATCTACTAATGTTGGTCCCCATTAACAAGAGACTCAGACTGAATTAACAAAAATACTAGAGAAGATACAGCTGGGAGTATATAATGCTTATTCATTAAAATTATTCATTAAAAAGGAGCCTTAAAAGCCTACTATTTCTCTGCCAAGGTACTCAAGATAGGCACGGTACAAAGCATCCAGGCAAATCTTAAGGCTGTTTATCCTTTCACCCCTACTTCATGAGAACAAAGAGCCAACCCCTGTTTGAAGTCCAGCACTAACAAAGAATCCCATTAGTCTGTAGAGAGGACAAAGAAGCCTGCCTCTTTATAATCAAAGGGGGCATTTTACAGTAATTTTCAACTCTTAAAATAACTTTAAAATGGCTCTGGAATGAGGAAGCTTGAGGTTTTTTGAAAAATATGCACCTGTAAAAAGTAGCAGATATTGTAGATTTGGGATGGCCAGTTTGGTACGAGCCAAATGTTTTGTGTTCTTTCATCACCTGTGCCTCCCTTGTTTGCTTCTGACAGAATAAAAGGGAGACTTAAGAGTAGCTCTTGACTTCTCCTGCATGTCTGTCTGCTACTCTAGAAAGGGGAAGCTCACAGCTGGAAAGAAAAATATTTGCTTTACACTAAAACCCCCAGATTGCCAAGGCAGTGAAGGCCACTCAAGCCTAGTTAATGGATACGTTAACTTTCATTCACATTTCTCAGATATTAGGGCAGAGCCTTTCCCTACTAAACAATCGCTCAGAAAACTTTCCAATCTGTAGGACAGGGCAACATAATTAACAGCATAAACAGTAGACAAAGTATCTGCTCACAACCATCTTTTCAAAATGGGTGGGAAACCTGTGACCCTCCTTAATTTCTAGCATTTCTGAGCCTTAATCAAACTGCTTGTGATTCCAAAGATTTCAGCAATTTTGGGAGGGCTTCAGATTCTCCATCTCTTAACAGTTTTCATGCGGATCCCATTGCCTTTCAAATCAAAAGTTGGCAGCAAAGCAGCTGTTAAACTCACTCTGATACGGAGAACTGAAGTAGCGTAGCTCTTATTACATTCAACAAGCTACCTCCTTTTTAGATTATATCAGGGAAAATATGCATTTTTAAAAACAATCCTGTCAGTTTCATGAGAATTAAAATGATGCTGTATCACCAACTACCTACACATAGAAAAAATGTTCATGGTTAGACCACTTAAGGATTCCTCTATTTCTGTTTATGTAGAAAAAGGCCCTATCATTATGCATGTAGGACATGATGCCAGAAATTGCAGCATAGCAACGTTTGGAAGGCGTAAATTCTCAATCTCTCATGGAGAGGGTCAGTTTTACTTAAAAGGGTAATTAGTCTTAAGCAGAAGTGGAGTAAGAACATTGTCAGGAGTTGCATTACAATAGCACCTCGTTTCAAGTCTTGCCATTTTAAAGCAAAGAAGAATTTGCTTAATATGAAATGGAGCATTAGGGAGAATTATACTTTCTTACAAAGAAATATGGCACAAATTATTATAGTGAATCTTTTCCACTCTTCTAAAAAGCAGGGGACAAAGGTGTGCTTAGATAAATGCAGTCAAAACAGCAGGACTTCCCCTGCTTGAAATAAATATTGCATAAATCTGTGATATACCTGAGGAGTAATTATTTTCAGAGAAGCAGCAACTGATGATTACATTTAGGGAGTTTCAAAAGCATTAGTTTAGGAGGAAGTAAGGCTGGCAAATGAAACTTTTAGGGTTATTATCAAAAACCTCTCTCCTCATGAAATAACAGTTTAGAGAAACCTTCTCCAACCAGATGTCTTCAGATGCCTTAGACTAAAATAATCATCAACACTAATCCACATAAAGCCAAGGGTATTGGAGGAAGACTATTTCTGAGCACAAACACTGCTACTCCTCAGTGACCCTCAGATACAAATATAGTTGATGAATAAAGATGGGCATGTTATCAGAATATCAACCAGTCCCATAATATTATTCATTAAGGGATGGGAGTACACCAGCAGTAATATTTCAAATTTTACTGAAACAATTATGGCATTGATATGCAGCTGCCCCCAACTGATGCCCTCCAGATGTTCTAGAAATACTGTACAATCCAGAACTCTCATTTTGAGAATTATAATCCCAATATATCTGAAAGGTTAAGGAAGAGATGCCTTTATTTACCCTAGTTTAAAGATATAAAATGTTTCCAATCCTTCCTAGAAGCTCTGCACTCTTCCAAACAAAGTCATTGACAATACATGATTCTGTGATTTAACTTCCCACTTTAACTGGATGAGCTTGGAATATAAAGACTGCAGCTCCTGATTTTGCAGAACCATTTTTAAATACCATTTTACGTGTTCTAATTGTGACACGATAAAAACTACGTTTGGTTTTGAAAGAAGGTTAGCTCTTCCTGGTAATCTGCTTTCGGAAGAGACTGCTGGTTTCTGGGTGGTGTTGGTGGGGGAAAGGATGGGACCTGTAAGACATGTCCAAAAATTTCATTCTGGAATGTTTGATTCTGTGCCAGTCTGTACAACAGTGGTTTGAGCAGGGCAATAGTAAGTTGGGATGACCCATCTTCTGCAAAAGGAAATGGACTGAGCTCAGCTGATGCTAGATTTTGCTGAATAATGCTCAGGACATCAGGGGCACTCATATCTGCAGGGCAGAGCTCCCACAACTTGTCCAAGTAGGGGTCCAGGGCCCGGTGCCGGGAAAACTCCCCCAGGAGATTAATAAAAATCTCTTTGTTTAGCAAAGGGCTCAACAAGGAGAATTTCTCTGCTGTCTCCATCACATGCTGCCATCTCCCATATTGGATAAGGAGACCCATGGCTTGGAGGATTGCTTTGGGCCTCTGGCTACAGAGCAAGAGCTCAATTTTCATTTCTCCATCTGCTACTGGACATCTGGCACACCTTGGCAGTACAGCTAGTGCTCTCTTATAAAGGGGCACACCACCCTCGGGCCCTTCTTTGCTTTTATAAGTCCAGGGGGCACCCAAATACTGCTGGGATAGCTCTACAAAGTGAGGCAACCATTTAGGCCTGAACTCAAGAAGAGAAAGACAGACAAGTTCAAAGAAGGGGAATACTCCATTGAGGGGGCTTTCTTCTTGCTTACTTGGGCTAAGAGTAGCTCCCCCCAGAATTTTTTTCCACACATCTGGAGTGGCTCTAGCTACCAGCATGCCAGCCCCATTCTCTTGTAGCTGGAGATGGTTCTGGATAGCTTTCCAAAAAGCCCCAGGGAAAGCTGTGAATACGACATTCAGGTACGCCAAGTCCTCTCTGTTCAAGTCCAAGCGAAGAAGGCGACTGAGTTCTTGTTCCACCAGTGCTTCACCATAGGTCTTTACCTCACTTTCTGAAGATTGAACCACACGCAACTTGAGGAACTCCAGGTCTTGATAATTCTGCAGTTCTAATTGCATTGTGCCCAGGAGCTTGGTATAAGATTCCGGGAGGGCCCGGAGCTTTTTTCCTTTGGGATCAAGACTATAGCACAGGATGGAAGAGAGTGCCACAGGAGCCTGAAACATGCCCCCCTTCTTCAGTTTCTCCACAGTGAGTTGGGAACTGCTGAGACTCCGTCTTTGATAGTATTTGCAGGCTTCTTCAAACACCATCTGCACAAGGTTGGGTTGTGACTGGCAGCCTTGATCAGAGTCTGAGAAGTCAAGAGTATAAATGCCATCCTGAGCAAGGAGCTGGATTTCTTCTTCTACGGTAGGAGAGTCCAAAAAGTGTACTCTTTCAGTGCTCAGGACTTTGTTTTCTATCAACTCTCTACTGTTCAAATCCACAAGATAAAGAGTCTCCTTCAGCAAGCAAGCCAGGATGCCCCCAAATACCTTTAATTGGACCTGCTCTCCTGAAGACAAAATGCCTCCTGAAAAGTCAAAGACAGGTCGCCACACGCCATTAGGTTGGACTCCCTGTATTGTGCCTGTTTGCGTGATCAAGAGCAGCTCTCCGCAATTGGATAGGGCGCAGCTGTGTACAGCCAAATTTTTCATGGATTCCAAGAATCCCACGTAACTCAGCATTAGCTTTTTGAAGTCTACATCGCTGCCTGCATGTGAGGCTTTTAGGGAAACGCACGGACCATGTGGTGCAGCAATAACAATATCAGCCATTTCAGGTCGCCAGATGAGGACAAACTTGGCTATTCCTGGGAAGGTGGCTGGGGTGGGGACAAGGAAGACTCCAGAGGGTTTGGCCAAGACTTGGTAAACAGGGCTATTGTGCAAGATAACCCTGAGAGGGCTCAGCTGGACACCCTGCTCTCCAATCTGAAGGCCTCGAACACAAATACAATACTGGAAGGCTCTTCTCTCAGGAGTCAGCTGAGCATCCAAAGGAGGCCTCTCTTCACACCACACAAGCTGTTCCCCCAAGCTGCAAATGGAGACAATCCGAGCACGGGCTCCATGGCACAGTTCCAGACTCTGCAGCAAATGCCATCCCGCGGTGGGCACAAAGCGCCAGACTTCGGTCCTGCCTTGCTCCCAAATGATAGCCAACACCCAGGAGGCAGTTGTGGCAGGGCTTTCCAAGAAAAGCAGCTCCACTACTGCGGGTTGAGGTGGCTTCCAGGTCCTCTCCAGCTCCCCTCCATCGAGCCCCAGGCGCTGAAAAGCCACCACTCGAGGCTGGGTGGCCGGCTGGTTCCACAGGAGAAGCAGATGGTGCTTGTCGGGGCTGGTTAGGATGCGGCTGGGAGGCTCCCCAGAACGACGCTGATCCAGCAGCTCCCGCAGCCAGCGGCCTCGAACATAGTCACTCCAGTCCGAGACCTGCCGAAGCTCCACCGCTCCCTTCATTTTGGGATGTCCGGAGCGGCTGCCGACCACATAGGGCCGGAAAAAAGGCTGACGAGCGGTACTAGGCCAAGCTTCACCGACCCCCGAGGCAAACGAGGCGTTATCTTATTCCGGCTTCTTGCAGCGGAGAGAGAAACAGGGTCCTCGCAACTCTTCCCGCCGATTCTAGCGCTCCTGGATCTGCGTTATTAATACGCACCCCCTTTTTTTTCCGACAAAGGCGTGTGAGCAATTCGACGCCCTTCCCTCCAGCCTCTAATAACCAGTCGCTTTACAGTAACCTTAGCTGAAGCTTTCAAACCTCGCTCTATTCAAGTTGCCGCGCCCCGCTCGCTATTCTCACTGCCTCTTATGGTTTCGGGCTCCGACTCTCTCGGCAGTGCCTACTCCAAAAGTCCGCGTTGCCCTCTCTCTCGTTCACACGAGCGCGGAATTCCGCTTGAGCTGCTGGCGCTCAGACGGCGTAGTTGTTTCTAGGCGCCTTAGCTCTCCCGGAACAGGCCAAACGCCAGACTCCGGCTCGCTCCAGCCGTTTCTTCCGCAAAGCAGCACCCCAGGAAATCCACCAGCCCCTCCGCAGTTCAGAAATAGCCAGCGCCGAATGCCTGCTTATTGCAATCACGAGGTCTTTCGTTTCCGGACTGAGGCACTCCCCTCCGGTACTTCGGCACCAAATCCGAACTCCCTACAATTCTTCTACTTCCGTCTCTGCCCGATGAGGTTAAAAGCTGGCCGCCCCAATTAAGCTGCCTTTTGGTAGCGCGAAGGGCCCGGAGGAAAACGAGAACTCTTGAGTTAAAGGGACGATGCGTCGGTGGGCGGGGAAGCACCAACTGCGCACACTTAGGCGCAAAGAGTTCAGCCTAAATTTTGCTGTTAGTGCTAAGGTTGAGTAGAGCTTTATTGTTAAATCAAGAAGAGTAGACAAAAAGGAATCACTCAGAAAACTAGTACCGGTAATACCTTCTGCCCATCCCTGATGAAGAAACAAATTACTAAGAAGGAAGATTTGGATTATGTGTAAGTTTTGGAATCTGTTGACAAAATTTTGTTTTCTACCTGCAGCTTAAAATGCTGGTTAATGACATTTTTCTCCAAAAGTATGCATAGCATTGTTGCTTTAATTGCATTCAAGATTAACAATTTTTCCTCATAACAATTGCAACATATGTGCTTCACTGTAGCCTCTTTTCAAGACAATTAGATCACTAGGAGATCTGCTTTAGCATATTGTCATGGTTATAGATCTACTCAAAGTTGTGGTCAAATCTCTTCTGGTGATTAGTTGGCATCCATACCACCATTTTTCCTGTCAAATAAATGGAAAATAAGAACTTTTCCCTGCTTCCCCACTTTTAAAAAATTTAAGTTCAGCAGAATTGGGTATATCTGTTTTATAATCTTTATATGTTTTAATCCTATGTTGGAAATAATATTTAACTGCAAATAAAAATCCATTAAAACTGAATTTTCAATTCCTGCAATCAGCTTTAGGTTTACAATGTTTTCTGATGACCCAGTGAGTTGTGGGTGACATTATAAGCCATTATAAAATTGGCTTTCAGAGATTATAGCAATAACATAATAGTCCCATATTTTGAAGTGTATATGGAATTGCAAACAAAATACATAAGCACTTTGACCCATGGATACTAGTGGGCTTTCAGCAAAAAAATATCCACACCCAGCAATGAAGAATGCATTCAGGCCACAATCTATTTCGGGTTGACTCTGACCAATAGACCATGGCTGAAATATGTGGCTCAACTTTTGGATTCTCCTATTTTTTTCCATTTGATGCATTTGCAATCACTGGCCTGAAGGAGAGTTCTGAGGTAACCAAAAACTTCACTCTCCTCTAACATTTTTGATTAGTCATTGTGGGAAGAATCCAGAGAAAGAAATATTTTGGGAAATATTAAAAAGGCAAAATGTATTTATCCAAAGCACGGGTGTCAAACTCGTGACGTCACCCGATGTGTCACAATGTATCATGACTTTTTTCCCATTGCCGGCAATGGGGTGGGTACGGTTTTGGCATGATGCATTCGGCCTGTGGGCCAGCAGTTTGACACCCCTGATCCAAAGGAATAATGGAGAAGATCTTAAAGGGAGAAAAGCAAGCCCAGTTTTCTTAATAGCCC